AATACGTACATAATACAATAGACTCGGTTTTGCCACAAATTATCCACCAAAGAGTCCAACTACAGCCCAGAAATACACCACAATCTCCTCCACAAAGAAGCCAGAATAACCAAAAATGTATGTACACAAACGAACCCATAAAACTAACACAAAATACCTATTCTCATTATTAACCACTAAATAGTCCCACTAATACCCAACAACACACTGCCATTTCCCCTATAAAGAAAACAATAGAAGTCCACATTTGCACAGAAACGACGGTAAAGAATGCAAATTCCTCCAGAACCAGCTACACAATAATGCAAACTCAGGGAGATACGTACCATCGATGATCTGCTCGAAAGATACAGAAGAGTGGAAGACGGCTCTCGAGGCCAAGAGAGCGCGTCGATTTGGCACAATCAGGTTTATAATGGAGGCTCGAAGACTGTGAAAATGTGATCTATTTCGTAGTAGGGTTTTGGGAGAAGTTTAATGGGCTAGGTCTTACTAGCCCAATTCACACTCTTTGTCGGCCCACTATCAATGTCAAAAGCAGATTTTTTCCAGCTATAAAATATCAATATATCATCATCAAATATTATGAAGTTTGAATCTGAATTACCGTATAAATCATATCGATGTTATTATAAAACATTATTTCTGTAACAACGTTCTTTTTCCTTAATTTAATATGGGGATCAAATCTAGTTATTATTTTTTCGGTAAAAAAATCTAGTTGTTATTTAAAAAGAAGTAAGTTAGTACTATAGCTTTTTTTTCGCGGGAATAACTGTTATTTTACAAAATTTCAATATTTTCTCACCTATTTTGGAATAATAAAAAATAAATATATAGATCTCATAAAAATCTTGGGGGGAATCCCAATTAAATCCAATTGAAATATCAAAATTCAAGTTAAGGCTTGTACTTTTAACAAATCCCTAATTAGGTCAAGAAGTCTTATTAAAAATTTTTCAATGTTGTTAAAAAACTAAAATACCCCTTTAAATTAGCACATTGGTAATTGTACCAATTAATTTATGACCTAGTTTCTTTTTTCTTTTTTTTTTGAGATGCTGTCAGATGACGTGTCGGCTTCATGCATTCCTGCAGCAATGTCCATATATTGTTAAAAGGCTAAAATGCATGTTTTTTGTATAAATTTATATCAAGCAATTTATATTATTTCATCCATCTCATCAAATCTTGGAAAAATTATTTAGATCTTTAGTACAAGTTCATATTAATTATTGGTATGAATTTTAGTAATGAGACTATAAGATATAACATGATAAGAACGTTTATATGACAGATATAGCAAAGCAATTAAGAAAGAAATGAAAATTTTGATGCTAAAATCTATAAATACATTAAGATTATGATTTTTTAACTGTAAGAAAAAAAAATTTCTTCAAAAAATTATTAATTTAATGGAGTAGGAATGAGGCAACTAAAAGGTTGTTGTTCCCATTATGGAAAAAAAAAAAAAGGTTTATGTTCCCATAAATTTCTCATCAATATATAGAGCCGTCAAAACGGGCCAAGTCCATCGGGTCAGCTCTCTTAAACCCTTTTAAATAGAGGGTCAGGCTTGTATTTTAGGTGATTTAAAAAGAAATTGGGCTTAAAAGGGCTAGCCCTATAGGGCTCAAAAATAAAAGGACCAACCCTTTAGGGCCAAGAGCTAGCCTTTTTAAGCCCGCCTATTTTTTTTATTATTATCAATATATTTATAAAGTTATAGATTAGTCTTTTATGAATAAGTTTAAATTAGAAAAATATTTAGAAGAATCAATATTCAAGCTAAATAATTGAAAAGAATTAGATGTCTTGGACTTGTGGAAGAACAATTAAAATCAATTTTCAATTATTTCAAGAATGATAGCTGATATTCTTAACATGTTAATCACCATAATAGCTAATAGATTTTCATTTACCATCGGTTTACATATCTTAACAAAGTGTAAAACTCTTCTTATTCGAACAAATATTTAGGCTCTTATTTGCACTTATAACTACTGCATAGTTTTATTTTAGATAAGGTAAATGAAGACAAAAACCTTAATATTTTTATCACTGAAAAAAAGTTCACTTGTAGTAAAGAACAATCAATATTGCTGATCTTGATAATACTGATGAAAATGAAGATAAAGATAATAATGATGTTGATATTGTTAATCTTTAGCTGTTAGGTTTTTATCTTTCTGTTTTTCATGTTTTGTTAGATTTTGATTTTTTTTTATTTTGGACAATAGTTTATTGGCATTTAATTTTTTTTTCTATACACCACTAATTTATTTTACTTATATTTATAATTTGAATAAAAAATCTTAGAAGTTTTGTTGTTTTATTTTTTATTTTAAAATAATTAAAAAAATTTAAATTTTAAAAAATAACATAAAAGGGCCAGCCCTTTTAAGCCCTGAGCTTGCATGTCCAAAGGCCGGGCTTTAATAATTAGATAATTTTAAGGTATGTGGGCTTTAAAAGGCCAGTCCTATTAGGCCCTGGCCCTTCAAGGGCTAGCCCTTTAGGGCCGAGCTAGTCCTTATTGACAGCTCTATCAATATATTAGAGTTAGTACAAAATGTTATATTACGCATTGTCGATTTTCTGATGTTAGTATTTTCAAATTTTCTTATGTAAGACTTTTTTTTATAAATAAATACTATATAATGTCAAGTTTTCATGGTTTAATTTTTTTGTTTTAAAAAATAATATTATTTTAAATTATAAAAGGACATTTTAGTCTTTTGATAATATTCAAAAATCCCTAATAAGGCCTCTTAGCTTAATTAAGAATTTGTTAAAAATGTAGGCTTTAATTTGAATTTTGATATTTTAAGAGGATTTAATTAGGATTTTCCCAAAATCTTAATTCAAATCATAAATATTAGCAAAAACTATTATTCACATTTTCAAAACTAAATTAAATCAAACTATTGTTCTAGATGCTAATAAACCATTGTCCAAATGTAATGCATGTCATTAATGATTTTTCAAGCTTCATTGTTTCAAACATGACATGAGTGATAAAGATAAAATGCTTTTACATGCAGCATAGGTTCTTAGAAGAGAAGAGAAAAGATGGTAGGTACAGTGATATGCATGCAAAAAAAAAAAAAATCTGCACGATGGAAAGAGATAGATATGCAAGAAAGATAAGCATTTACGCGACATGCTCTAAATATATACTTTTTGTTGATAATATATTTTTAACAATGAAAGCAAAAAATGTTAACTCTAAACTTGAAGAAAAGCTTGAGAGATTTTCACCTAAGTAAGAGTAAGACAAATTATATACTATCTCCAGTTTTTAGTATAACAATTAGTTTGATATTTATTTTAATTTTAAATATGATGTTCTAATTCATTTGATCTCTTATTTTTATTTAGTTTTTTTAAAGTAATCGTTATAATAGTTGTACATATTAAATATTTCATTAAATAGTATTTATAGCTAACACACATGATTAGCAAGAGTATTTTAGAAAAAACAATACTTATTTATTATAAATAACTAATTTAATTAATTTTTTTAATATACTCAAATTAGTTAACTAGTCTTTATATAAGAGCCGAAAATAATATATAAAAAGTTTCATAAAAGGTACGTTATTTTTTTTTTTACCGGAATAAAAGGTACGTTGAAAGTAACTTAAAGGTTAAAATGTCACATCACAGCATGTCACAAGTAAGAAAGTTTAGTTATTCGGAGGTTTTTATACAAAATGGCAGTAGACTTGATGGAAACGTTACATATAGAATAAGCTAAATGATTCAAATGGAGAAAAATTGTATGAATGATTTGTAAAAGGAAAGAACCTAATAAATTTAAAAAGAAGTTTTGTTAAATTGCTGCGTGACCTATAATGCTACATGGCAACACATGTTAAGAACAATAATAACATAAGATCAAGATTATGGAGATTAATAATTTAATACTACTTCCGGTTCTAATTACAAAATCCTATTTGTTTGTAGACCATAAATAAAGTCTTATAAATAGGATCGGAGGTAGTATGTTGAAATGAATACAAAAAAATTTTTTTTAAAAAAAAAACATAAGATTCATTATCAACATTTATCAATAAAGAAGAGTTGGCATGACATCTATTAAAAGAGGAGTAATAAAAAAAAATGTTTTACATGGGTTTGAACATACAAAGAACAAGGGTGATTAGTGGCATTAGTGAAAAGAGTGGGATAAACAATTGAGTTTTGTGAAGATAAATCATTTGTTAGACATAACATTTTGTTGAACCATATATCAAAATATATGACTATTGATAGAGTATAATAATATCATGCAACTAATATAGTTGACCATTCCTACTGAAATAACACTGCTTGTTGTTATATAAGATGTAAGAATATTTTTAAAAGATTGAATGAATTTTATTTTTTAAATATGAAATCTAATATTAATGTTAGATTCAAGCGTTGAGTCACACACATGGAGGAGCCCTCTTAATGTCGCTTCTTTCCTTAATAAATTTTAAACTTATGATTTGGTTTAACATATATGAAGCCGCCTCCGCTGGACAAGAAAACATGACCTCAACAGAGAATGTACACCTTCATAGCTTTACCTACCTATGCAAAGATATGCTGAAAGGACTTGCGAAAATGCTTATGTATGATTTTACAAGAATTATACTACTTCCAGTCCTTAATATAAGACCTTATTTGATTTTTATTTTAGTCCTAAATATAATATCTTAATCAACTTTGTCTATCATGTTTATACATTCTTTTCCAATATAATCCTTCTAGTAATAATAATTCTAACTAATACACTTGATCAATAAGGATATTTTAAAAAACACAACACTTATTTATTACAAATAACTAACTTAACTTATTTTTTTAATCTCATCAAATTAGTTAACTAGCTCTTATAATTAGAACAAGAGGTAGTACATGATCTAAGATGAAGGACCTATCACCAAAAAATAAAGGACTAGGCATAAATTCATATACCCTATATCAATACGAGTATATCACAGTCACAATGAACAAAAAAGGAACATTTTTAATACCCAATTAAGTACATAATCCGAAAAACACCCACAAGAGTCTGAGACATTTTTGTGTAAATATCTTTCCAAACAAAATAATGTTAAAACATAATTGTATTTGCAAATCGTTATCTTGAAAGCTTAAGAATTTAATCGGTATTCCCAGTTAGGGTTGATACTCATTATCTCTACTTCCTTTATCTGAACATCAGCTCTATAACACTTAAATACCTCTACTGCTGTAGCTGATAGGCGAACACAGCCATTCATATAAAGAATTGATAGACTCTTGCACCCATTCTGTATAGATCGCAACCCAAGATCACAAAGATTGCGACATCGGTTAACGTGTAGTCTCTCCAGATTCTGACAATTTAATCCGATCGCTTGCCAGCCGCATAGCTTGACCTCATGACACAAGGCTAAGTTCCATTCCTGAAGTAATGGACATCCCTTGGTGATCGCAACAATCGATGCATCACAAACAGATCTGCACATCCGAAAGTCGAGGAATTTGAGGTTTGAGGAAAATCCTATTCCTGCTGTGGGATCTCCAAAAGGAGACCAACATAAACAGGAAACATTTAAATACTCTAGCCCACCACCACTAACAATTCCCTTTATCCCATCTGGGATAAGCTTACAAGAATCAGCTTCCAGATAAGCTAGAGTTTCTGAGCACCCTTCAAAGCCCACACCAGCAATACCATCACAGTTTGATATCTTAACTACCTGAAGTTGGCGGCAGTTCCGCGTGAGAGCTTTTACTCCTTTGTCAGATATTTGTGAACAATATGACAGGTTCACATGTTTCAAGGACAAGCAACCATTAGCTAAAGTCTCCAATCCATTATCAGTAATTTTGAGGCAACGATAGAGACTAATTGCCTTCAATAAGGGGCAACCAGAAGCAATCAAGGATAGACCATAGTCAGTAACATTGGAACAACAATCCAGATGAAGATTCTGTAAATTTGAACCATAGCTTTGCACGTAGGTCAATCCTGAATCAGTTATGTCTGTACAACCAGATAAATATAATGATTCTAAATGTTGAAAGCGGCTTAGCAACCGATGGAGATGGAATGCTTCAACACAAAAAGGCTTCATAGATAATGAGGGAGGACCAAATATGGTGAATGAACATTGAAACTGCAAGGATCGACGGTTCAAATTTTGAATCTGGAGCCACCGCCGGCAAGTCAGGCCAAATGATTGACGATCGATGCTACTATTTAAACAATGAAAAATAAAGGCAAGGCAATCATCTGGGAGGTGCATGATTGATGTAAAACCTTCCATGCAAACCCCTCTAAGATTCCTCTGAATAAGGCTGTAATGATCGAATCTTTACAGTAAATTTCCTATGAGAACTAGATGAACTGGCTGAGTTAAATCCACAAAGTGCCGGTGAGTCTGCATATCCGTAGCCAATAAGAACCCCACATTTGCGGCAAAGCAGTTTAGTTCTTGAATGATGACCACAAAAAGAGATAGGAAAACAATTTATTTTATCAACCTGTGTGAACCGGCTGAGATCAACTGAATCAAATGAGATTGATCCTTTCTTTATGGACTTTTTATATTCAGAACCTATGTCAGATGTGATTCGATTTGAGGATGTCAAGTTCAGAGGATATCCACAAGAGCCACAACTGCACAGTGGACGACCAAATATCAGGATAAGGATGATATGAATCATAGAATAAAACCCCCAGAGAAAAGAAAAAACTTGGGCACTTGTGCCTCATATGCTTAACATATTTTTTTGAACCAAATTTGTGACGTATTTTTTACCTATGATAGCCTGTAACTAGTTCTTGCTATTAACATTTTAAATTTTTTAAAAATTTAAAATTCTAGAAAAGCATGTTAAGTATATAAGGTTAAACCGTTTTATTTTCTCCCAAAAAAGGTATCCTACAAAAAATAAAAATAAATGGTAGAAATATTATTTCAAAAGGGTAAAAATAGCAGCATTCTGAATTTCATCCGCGCACAATACTTGGATAACATAGATTCTTTCCTTACATTTTATACAAATTCGAATTCTAAATTTGCAGAACAGAATGCAGGACAGTTCAATAATGGTTAAACTGGACAAGAAAATTTATCTTGAGTTAATTAGGAGAGGGTAAAGAATAAAAGGCCAAACCAAGACCCTGACCCCCAGCAACTATAAAAGCATGCCAAAAACAGGGGGAAACAAGAGAAAACAGATCAGCGCCATTACTGTTTCTTCTTTTAGCATGGGTCCACTTTATCTAAATACATTTTTTTTTTCATGCAGAAGACAGTAAGGAGAAGACCGTAAGGTCATGTTTGGTGAGCACACCCTCAGGTAGAAAAATGATGAGGGAATGAGGACGTAAATGGAAATCTTCCTCATAAATCTAATAGAAAAAGTAACAAAAAAGAACAAGCACTGTTGTGTAATAATAACATTAATAGAATAGACATTGTAAAAATTATTTAGGACTTACTTTTCATTCTTGCCATTATCCTTCCCTCTCCATTTGGGTACCAAACATTTCCTAAATTCGTATAATAATAGCAAGAAACATTCACAACCAATTATATACACTGAAAACTAGATATGTAACCTTTTCTCCGCAGCTTCACTTGCCCTAAAGCCAACTTTGTATACTTCTTCCACCACACTCTAGAAAAGCCAGGTGAAAGGTAGGAAAGGATTTAACGAAAATTAAAAGCTTCTTAAACACCCCCACCCTCCAAAGATGAAACTCACTGGCCATGCTTGCTTAGCTCTTCTCAGTAGCTTTACTCTCAATCGTGATATGAAACCAATCTAATATTCACATCTAATAGACTCAAACAATATTCACCAGCTTGGTCACAGCCTATCCAAATGCTCTTCTAAAACGTTTATTTTCCTAGTAACTGCTTTGACCCTAGTCTTCAATCTATGTGGCAAAAACTAATAACATATGATTCTCTATATTTTCTATACCTTTGCAGTCAGATAATTTGGGAAATCCTCATGAAATAATCACATAAAATGAATGATATGGTTAAATCCGTGTTCCTAACACAACTACAGCTTTCTGTTTCAGCCTTTACAAAATAAATTAACAGACATTCAAGATGATATAAACTTAAAAAGAAAGAAGGAAGGAAGGAAGGAAGGAAGGAAAGGAAAAAGGAAACAAAAGAGCCAATATTTCTCTTGATCACATCAACTAAAGGAGCATAGTAACCCAGGGGAACAAAAGACGACCATTTAACCCCACAACGGATTATTTTCTTCGTTTATGATTTTATCAGACAATAAGCAGATCAAACTAATCGAATCAAACCATGCTCAAGTTACCCGTATCCTTTCATCTTTTTAAATAACAGTTGTTGATGTAGTTAGCAGAAAGAATAGAAAAAACAGTGATTATGTGGCTATTTAAATACTGAAGACTTAAGTCACGTTACTAAGATATAAAAAACAGGCATGCAGAAGAAGCATACAGTAAGATGTAGGAACAATAGCTTATATGGCTTTGTATGATACCATGATATCTATGCCTTGTCCCTTGCTAAAGCTGCAAACTGATGCATGAGCTTCATTAAATATTACGCCCATGTAGTAGGGCATAATTGCACCTACAGCAAGAAGACATTGGCCCAAAAACTTTTATTCCACATATCCACAGTACACCAAGCAGTTAAAATTTCTTTAACAAAGCCATATAATGCCACTTAATAGGTCGTCTTCTTTTTTTTTTTTGGGCAGAAAATTGCCATAATCTCTGAGTGTATATTTATATCTGAATGGTTGATTTGTACCACCAAAATGACTATGAAACTTTCCAGTGACCTTCAATTCTACAAATTATTTAACTTCTCAGTTTCAAGATAAATTGTAAATAGATTAAATCATTGTCAAGAATCATGAAGTTCACATTGAATTGAATGTTGATTGTCCTAAAATTATATTCAGGTTTTCATCTTTAGCACCTAGCTTTTTTGTGCGACTCTGATAGTGACAAGTCTTACCAAGTTTTGCATGTCGAATTATCAGCATTTCCAGCGAAATCATATAGTAATTGAGACAATAAATTATAAGCCATTACAACAAATCATTAAGATGCTAATCTCGTCTCCTTCTTCAGTATTTTCATCTTATTTTCTTGGTTTTCTTGACAAAGCACCCTTTCAACCAAATCCAATCACCCTAAATGTTTATGCCCTGCTACTTCCACTAAAACACTTTAAGTTAAATTGAATGTTTCCATTTTCCAACTTCCAAACCTTCAAAATCCATAAGAACCCAAACCCCACCAAGGGTCAACCATAGGAAGACGTCCACATCAGAAGAGACCAGAAGCACAAACATGAATCACAAGCATCATTAAACATAAAAGGAAAAACAAAAAATAAATCTGCTTCATGTCCCTATGATACGCAGATGAATATGAGTAAAGTAACAATGACGTAGGTGTAAAGTAGCTCTCACGTGCTTGGGTGGCACTAAAGCCACTGTCATGTTTGTAGAAGGCTTCAAGGGAGGCATTGAATAATAGCTCAGGCCATTTGAAAGTATCTTGGAAACTGTCTGATGAGCTTTTGCCTAAACTAAAGAGCATGACATGTATTCAATGACTAAACCAAGATAAGTTAACTAGGTAGAAGTATCGAGAGATGAGAATAAGACAATAATTTAATATGTTTATGAAGCAAAAACATGAAATACAATACACAATATGGATAGGTAGGCATTCTAAGAATCTTACACTATTATCCTCCTAAAGACATTTACCAAATAAAAATGTATTAACCAAAATTATTCATGTATAGCAGAAAATATAGGAAAGAATTTTCCATGTCTTATCAAGCTGAGGTTCTTAGTCTCTCTTTCTACTTTGTTTTTTTTTGGATAATTTTCCTTCTTCTTAGGTACAATTATGTCCAACTCTTGTTCGGTGCAAGTTCAACACATGGTCAGTAGGTGCTCAAGATGTGCTGGACAACTATCAACAATGTGTTGCGAAGACAGTAGTGTTGGGAATAGCTGGGTAACTTAATAAGCTGACAGAGTGGTCAACGAAAATCAGCGTTCATTTTGAAAAGCAAACAGTCCAATCAGGTGATGAAAATATCCAGTCAGCTAGGTAAAATAGCTACAACGGGATGTCAATTCTGTGAATAAGCAGTCAACCAGGTACATGGAACCAGTTGAGCAGATGCCATAACTGGTCAATAGGGTACCTGGCGAGTGTATGTGTCAAAAAGTGACTAATAATTTCAAATTTCAAAGCGATTTCTTGGTCTTGGTGGCTTTAGTTCCAGAGTCATGTCCTTTTAAGGAAACATCATGGTGACTCATTATATGGACATACACATAACATTCAAAATAAAATTTAAATGAGAGGTGTTGGCTCGACATTCAATATAAAGGATTGGCTCGCCATACGACTCTGATTTTCTCTGATCCATGATTTTATTCTAGAAGGAGTGAGATCCATGACTTGCCAAGTATTCTCTCCCAAATGCGTTGGATAACTTCCAGAAGTTTATCATCAAATAAATGGCATTAGGTATGATTTGAAATGTCAACCCCAGGGTAATGCATAAATTATTTACCTTGGCCATAATAACACGTTCACAAATCAGTCAATGCATATACAAATATCTACATTACAATTTTTGACAAATATACAAATAAATTGCTACCAGGAATCAAAGCCCATAAAAATTCCACAAATTCTACACCCCATTGAAGGATAATTGCTTAACAAAAGGCTGAAAATTCACCAGCTTTACCCGATAACAAGCTGCTTCGGGTAAAACCTATGAGCCAGATCAAAAACGGGAAGAAATAGAAAACGAGAATTACCTGTACGAGACGTCAGCTGGTGACATCCTCCCTTATTATGATAGTGATCAGGACATGCCATCATGGTCCATCGAGTTCGCGATTAGGTGCAGCAAATTGCCAGGGGAAAAAGACCTCCAAGTGGGAAAAAAACAAACACAGAAATCAGAGTAGACTCCGAGACGATGAGGCTCCGAGATGAGAGATGGTGATTATTCGATGCCCCTCACTCCCTTCTCTTAGTGTCTCTCTTCTTCCTTCTTCGATGCTTCTTACGCAGATTGGAGATTTATAAACCAATCAAACCAGCTGATTTGGTTTTCCATGAACTCCTTGATTTGGTCCTTTAATGAGAAAAATACTAAACAACATCTGGCGTAACTCTTCCCGTTTGACCATATACCGAATCTGTCAGAGACATAAACTTTTCCTTTCCCTATCTGCCGTAGACATCATTAATTATTAGACCGGGTGGGTGTTTGAGAAAATAAATCACTTAAAATTTTCAAAATTTTATTTATATACAAATTTAGTTTGGAATTTTATTTAAGAAAAACTAATATTTCTATCTTTAAATTTTGTCTCATTTGATACTCAACACTTAAATTTTAATGTAATACAACTCAATTTGTATAGTTTTGATTCGATTATAATTCAATCCTTAAGTTTTGACTCATTATACTTACAATTTTAATCATTCAAAGCTTTAATCCTTATATTTTAAAAGATTAAATTATATATTTAATTAAATTCTGGGGAGCAAAATAGTTTTAAATGGTTAAAACTATAATAACTGAGTTATAGTGAGGTCTAAGGATAAATTAGATTGGGCCATAATTATAGAGATTAAAAAAATTAATTTTTTCTTTTATTTAACAATTAAGTATATAATTTATCCATAATTATATAAAAATTTAAAAGATTTAATAGAGAATTTAATAGTTAAAAAAATATTTATATATAATCTAGAAAAAATTAATATCGCAGTACTTATTATAAGGAATGCCATATTATTTTTTCTTATAATTTATTAATTTATATAATTTTATTTATCCCATTGATTTTGATTATTTGAAATTGTAACATAACAGAATCCAGCATCACATGCTAAGGAACTATAAATTTGATTCTAGGTCAAAAAGCAAATGTTTCCAAGAAGAATGCAATGACTTGGATTGCTACAAAAGCTGAGTATCCCTTGCTTCCATATGTGAGTAGTATCATTTTTTCACATCAGAATTCTACTTTTTTTTTTTTGTTGGCTTGTCATCTTTTAGGTTATTTAGAAAGTGTTTGAATGAAAATAAAATTATGGTTTTAAAAGTACTTTTACAGTAAACGAAATAAATATGTAGAAGAGTTTGTCTCGAGTTATGAAAAAAATGTTTTTTTAAAAACACTTTTTGAACAGTCCAAACACCCCCTAGGGTCTATATAGTCGTTTTAGGTGATTTGAAAATAGTTTTAGCACTTACTTTGTATGAGTGTTTAGGTAGAAAATAAACCATGATTTTAAAAATGTTTTTACAGTTTATAAAGTAAATATGTGAAGGAATTTATCTCGTTTTGTGAAAAAGTGTTTTTTAAAAGTACTTTTTAGGGTTACCAAACACCTCTCTAGTTGTATATGGTCATCTCATCCTCTACCAGTGTTTATATCTTATTTTGCACTATTAAGATTCAAGTTGTGTCATTTTAAAAATTTTTCCCCCCATTTCACTGCTCATGTTATTATATATTGTTGTTTTTGGTTGGGCTCCTATTTTTATATGAATTTATCATGTAAAGAGATTAAATAGTTTACGTGCTTAATATAATAATTTATTTAATTTTTATTTTAATCCTAAACAGAAGACCTTAATTTGCTTTATTTCTTATATTTATCTATTTTTTTAAAGTAGTCACTGCAACAATAATAGTTATAGCCAATACACCTGATTAGCAAAGATATTTTAAGGAAGACAATACCTGTTTATTACAAATAACTAAACTAATTTTTTTAATCTATTCAAATTAATCAACTAGTTCTTATATTAAAAACCGGAGGTAGTATACTTTTACATAGTTTTTTGCAAGATTGTCTTTTTATTGGAGGAAAAAAGAATGCAATGACCGGAAAATTTATCTACAGCCGGGTTCAGAGGGAGAAAGTTCCATGATGGAGTGACAAATCCTATTTTCATCACATCAAACTTGACAAAATAACGATTGTTTAATTAGGCGTAAATTCCCATGTTTAAACAGAAAAGGGAGCGACATTCACCGATTTGTGGGTTCCCAATAAAAGATCAATTATCCATCAAAAGTCAAAACCTTGGTTTTGACATGCGCGCGCTGCACCCATGTTTTGATTAAGGGTGTGTTTGGATGAAACCAAACCGTGGTTTGGAAAAGTGATTCTGGAGAATAGATTCTGAAAAAAATAGATTTTGGGAAGAATAGATTTTGTGAAAAAGTGATTTTGAGAAGTGTGAGTGTTTGGATAGTTGTTATTAGAAGTACTTTTTATATATACAAATTGGCATAAATTAATATGATAATTATAGAAAAATATATTTTACGATATATTTTAATTTGAAGGAATAAAATTGTTAATAATATATTTTTTATTAACATATATTAATAATATATAGATAATATAATTAATAAATAATTAATATGTATATATATTTATAAGATATAAGATTAAATATGTTTATAAAAAATATGTTTATAAAAAAAACAACAAGATATATATCCTATAAGCTCTCACACTCTCCCTTTTTTCTCCAAAAGTAAAAAATTTCTGCTTTCTCGAAAAGCAGAAATTTTTTACTTTTGGAGAAAAAAGGGAGAGTGTGAGAGCTTATAGGATATATATCTTGTTGTTTTTTTTATAAACATATTATTAACAATTTTATTCCTTCAAATTAAAATATATCGTAAAATATATTTTTTCTATAATTATCATATTAATTTATGCCAATTTGTATATATAAAAAGTACTTCTAATAACAACTATCCAAACACTCACACTTCTCAAAATCACTTTTTCACAAAATCTATTCTTCCCAAAATCTATTTTTTTTCAGAATCTATTCTCCAGAAGCTATTCTCCAAACCATGGTTTGATTTCATCCAAACACACCCTAAATTAAAAATTAATTAGGAAACTATAGACAAAATCCAATTTCTTTATTATAAAAAGTCAACTTGATTTAAACCCAAATAAAAAGATTACAACCGGTCAATTTGGGCAAAACTCAAATAAATTAATGAAGTAACATGGTAGAAATAAGAAAGCAAAATATTCTAACAATAGAGACAAATGAAAGAGCCAGCGAAATGAGAAAAAAAGAAAAGAAACAAACAACATCACAAAAGATAAAACAGGTTTGGATCTCATTGTAGTTCCCAGTTCTCGCCGACAGATGTGAGACAAGCCACGGCTTAAGGCTATGTTTGGATTGTCATCAGAGAAGCCAAAAGCGTCTAGGAAAGGGCATAATAACTAAGGTTACTGGCTTATTTGAGTAAAAATGATTGTTTGGATGTGCTGCTTTTTGAGCTAACTTATAAGCAAAAGTTGCTTATTTTTGAACACTGCCTGGAGAAGCTTCTCCACTGTTTCAAAATGCAATTTACCGTTAAATAAGCATTAATGGGTATTCAATTTCTCTCACCTATCATTTCCACCCAACCCTCTTCAAAGCAGATCTTTCCTTTAGAACACCTCGATTGAGCAACAAACAGGGAGGCTCCTCTTGCTCTGCATTCGGCCTTCTACCTTCGTCACTCTCGGCACTCTCTCTGTTTGTCTCTCTCGCCGACTTCTCCATCCATCACTGTCGCTTGCGTCTCTGTCCGTCGCTCTCTCCGGCATCTCCATCCATGGGTCTCGGCGGCTGTTCTCGCTCCATCACTGTTGCGACAGATTTGTGTCATTTTCCTTACCATACGTTGACGTGTGTGTGCAAAGAATCGCCACTGTCTTCCTCCGCCGCTCAGGGTACCATGGTTGCTTTTCTTTTCTTTTCCCTGTTCGACTTTTAGATCCTTTGTTCTCCTTGTCGGTGCTGACTGTGGCTGAAGAAGTCGGGGGTTTGTTTTCTTCCCTTTCTTCTCTGGTTGTAGCTGCTGTTGTGTGTGTAAAGAATCATCTTCTGTGTTTTTTTCCCCTTCTCCTGCGGACGTTCTATTTTGACCGAAGCATATGATAGTTTGGCATTAATTTTGTTAGATATTATGCTTTAATGCTTAATTTTGTTTGCAATTGAAGAAGTTAATGTTTGGTTGGATTTTTCGGGTTAAAGGAAAAGAGTATTTTTGGTGTTATGGGTGTATGTATCATGATTGAGAATGGGTGGTTATTGGTAGCCGCATCGTTTCCTTCGAGAGCTTCTTTGATCTCATTGGCAAGTGCTGGTGTGCCCTTGTCGAAGTCTGTTGCCACGCCAATCATTTCTCTTCCACATATGGATGGTCAGCAATATGCACCTTTCCTTAGAGTTGCATCATACCACCTTTGATCCTAAATATCAAGGTTAGTTGACTAATTTAAAAAGATTAAAGATTAAATTAGTTATTTGTAATAAATAAATATTGTCTTTTCTAAGATATCCTTACTAATTAAGTGTATTGACCAGAACTACTATTATTAGAAGAACTACCTTAACAAAATACATAAATATGATAAACAAAGTGGATTTGGGTCTTATATTTAAGACAAAAATAAAAATCAAATGAGATTTTATATTAAAAACCGGTAGTAGAAAGGAACTGGCATGCTTGCTTCCAAGACGTAAGGCCACTCTAAGGCATCAAGTCAACCCAATATCTCACGAGGGTTACACCCTTTGAGGTGTTAAAAGGTCCTCTGGTACAAAACATCATAGATACGCACCCATGACAAAAATAAACACGAAATCTTAAGAGAATTAGTGATAAATCATGACAACATACAAAATGGCTATGTGCAACCATTAATACTATTGAGCCATGAACGGACGTGCCAAGAAAGATGAGAAACACCATAAATGTCTTAAGCAATTGAAGAGAAGGGCAACTCAAGTCTTCAAACCATGTCAATAAAATCCATTTTTGATTAAAGTTAATTATGAGTGTTTTTTTCCTATTTCATTTAATAATGAAAGTGCCATCAAATCCTGGGAGAGGTATCACCACAGTATAATGAAACTGGGAGATTCTACCTATTGGGAGAAAGAAAGGAGTTTGCTTGTCATGCTCCTGTGTCCCTAGGGACAGGTCTTAGTGGATGATCAAGTGTTAGGTGCTCTGTCTTTAAATCGTAGGTGAGCCTAATCTTTTTTCTAAAATTTAGCTTTTGCCACCAATAAAAAAGAAAAAAGAAAGTGCCATCAAACTTGTCCTGCATTTCATGAATCAAAGTCAT